GACGAACTCGTCGAGCGGGAGCGGCTTCTCGAGCCCGATCTCACCATGGCGGCCCGAGGGACCGATTGCAACATGCAATATGCACAAGTGCAAACAGTTGGCCGCCGATGTCGCAACCGATGTTTGAGGCAAATTAGCCGCGGGCGGATGATCTGCCACCCAGTCAGGCGCTGATGGCACTGCGTAGATCGCACCACATATTATTCCCACAGCCCAGCGTAGCGTGACATCAACGTTATCACGCTCGCTCGCATAACCTAGCACGGCATCGCATTCATCATTGGCGTAGCACGTTGACACGCGTAGCATAGCGCAGCATATCAGGTATTATGTCGTTGCTGCGGCTGGTGGCGCCCCAGGGCGCGCATGCACGTGTGCAACTCTGCGCTTGCAAATCATGTGCACCACAGCGTTTGCCACAAGCGGTTCTTATCGGAAATATGACACCCAGTAGCTCTGATACGCTCGATCGTGCTTCATAGCGATAGCATGTTGACCCGATGTGTCCCAAACCATTGGCGTGCGCGATCGCATGCATTAGATGCGCAAAGATAAAGGTGCAAAGGTAACCAGTCGCGAAGAGTGAATGCACGCCCCTAACACTCGACCCACACATCCCTAAAGCATGGTCATTGGAACAACACTAAGTTAACACACAGCCCCTAAAACATCTCTAAAGCACGGTCCTGAAACTTCCCTAAAACACTGCCCCTGAAACATCACTACGGTAAAACGCAGCCCCCAAAATATTACTGAAGCACCGCCCCTGAAACGTCCCTATAGGGCACGGCCCCTGCAGCATCCCTAAGGTAAAACACAGCCCCTAAAACATCACTAAATCAAGGCCACTGACACATCCCTAAAGGACGGCCCCTGCAACACCCCTAAGTTAAAACACAGCCCCAAAAACATCCCTAAAGCATTGCCCATGGAACATCCTTAGCACGGCCCACTGGAACAACCCTACAAGGTAAAACACAGCCCCCAAAACATCCGCAAATCACTGCCACTGAAACTTCGCTAAATCACAGACGCAGCCACTAAAACATCATTAAATCATTTAGCCTGAATCATCACTCAAGCACGGCCCTGAAACATCCCTAAGGTGAAGCACAACCCCCATAACACACCACTAAAGCACGGCCCCTGAAACTTCCCTAAAGCACGGCCCCTGAAATGCCCATAAGGTAAAGCACAGCACATAAAACACCCCTAAATCACGGCCCCTGAAACATCTATATAAAGCACAGCCTCTGGAACATCCCTAAAGTGAAACACAACCCCAACACATAACTAAAGCACGGCTCCTGAGCCATCCCTAAAGCACTGCCCCTTCAACATCTATGCTGTGAAGCGCAGCCCCTAAACCACCCCAAAGCACAACCCCCTGGTGGTGGGGCGGGGTGTGGGGGGGGGGGGGGGGGGGGGGGGGAGAGGGGAGGGCGGAGGGGGAGGGGAGTTGGCGGGGGACGGGGGAGGGGAGGATGGAAGATGGTGAGTGTGGGTGGTGGTAGGTGGGGTGGGTGGGTGGGGTGGGTGGGTGGTGGGTGGTGGGGAGCGGGGTTCGTGTGTTGTGTGTGTGTGTGTGTGTGGTGTGTGTTGCGTGTGTGTGTGTGTGTGTGTTTGTGTGTGGTGTGTCAGTGTGTGTGTTTGGTGTGTGTGTGTGGTGTGGTGTTGTGTGTGTGTGGGTGTGTGTGTGGTCTTGGGGTGTGTGTGTGTGTGTGTGTGTGTGTGTGTGTGTGTGTGTGTTTAGTGTGTTGTGTGTGTGTGTGTGTGTGGTGCGGGTTGTGTCGTTTGGGGGGGGGGGGGGGGGGGCGGGGGGGGGGAGGAGAGGAGAGAGAGGGTGAGGGTGGTATGGGTGAGTTGGTGGCGTGGGTGGGTGGGGCCATTCCCACCAGCCCTCTGGGCGTAGGTGGTTTAGGGAGTTTCCTCTTCCAACCTCCTTCTTCCCCTTCGGGGAGGGGTTTACCCCCCCCCTACGCCCTAGGGTATTTTTTTCGCCCAAGACGGCTCCATAGCGCCTCGGAGAGCCCAAGATGAGCTCCAAGGTGGCCCAAGATAGCCGAAGATGCCTCAATATGGCTCAAGAGGTCCCAAGACCGCTCCAAGATAACCCCAAGAGGCTAGATAGCTCCCCAAGGAGCCACCCCCCAATATGCCAAAATCGTTCAAAAACTTAAGGAAACACATTATTTTCTGCTTCTCGCTTTTTCGCTTCCGATTGCTATCCGAGGCTTCAATATAGCCCCAAAAGAGCCCAAAAGGGCTTTAAGATGAGCCCACGAGAGCCCCAAGACGGCCCCAAGAGCGCCCAAGAGCGCTCCAAGAGCGCCCCAAGAGGGGTCCAAGAGGCGATTCTGGGGGCTCTAGAGGGGCAAGGCGTGATCGATCTCCTTCAAGATGAGGCGCTCCTAGGAGGCCCCCAGAGGCGCCAAGATGGCCCCAAGATGGCCCCAAGCGGCTCTCAAGCTGCTCCCAAGAGGCCTCCAAGAAGCGCCCAAGTGATATCCCAAGAGGCTCCGAGATGCATCCAAAATACCTTTGGCCATTTCGCTCGCCCTCCTCCTCCTCCTCCTCCTCCTCCTTCTCCTGCTCATCCGTCCTCCGTCCTCCGTCCTCCTCCTCCTCCTCCTCCTCCTCCTCCTCCTCCCCCTCCTCCTAGTCATCATCCTTCTCCCCACTCCCTCATCCATCCATCCAGCATCCTCCGTCTCCTCCTTCCTCCTTCGCACGGTTCGGCTGTCCCCCTCCTTGCTCCTGCACTTCCCTGATCACCTCAACTCGCCTGGGCGTTGTTTCTGGATGGGCTGGTGGAGATACGCGAAGCGTCTAGAATTGTGCGTGCGGCCATGCTGGGGGCATTTGTGCGTGCAGCCTGGTTGGGGGAATTTGTGTGTGCAGCCAAGCTGGGGGCATTTGTGCGTGCAGCCTGGCTCGGGGCATTTCTGCGCGCATGGAACACTGCCTCACGAGTTTTCTCTTCCACCTCCACCTCCCATCATCCAGAGGGGAAGAGGGGGGAGGAGGGAGGGGAGGGGGGAGGGGGAGAGGGGGGAGACGGGGGCGGTGGCTTGTAAGTCTATGTTCCAATCAGAGCCCACGAGTATCCATCATACGGCTTACATACTAAAACGTCTTCTCATCACAGTATAGGCGAATGAGGCGAGATGACGCGGGGTGCTGCTGAGGGCTCCATGCAGGATTGTAACATCGCACCAGGTGCGTCGGCCGACCCTCAGTGAGTTCGAGATTCTGGAACGCTCGCAGGGAGGGAAGCTGCCCTGAGGCCATGGATCGGGGAATGTGAAAAAGGGGAGGGCGGGTGGACAAGGATTACAAGGAGGATGCGGGAGAGAAACGATGGTGACAACACCAAGCCCTCACCCCCCAGTGCAGCAAGCACTTATAAAATTCTTGACGCTTTGCGTATCCCCACCTGCCCATCCAGAAACGATGTCCCCTCTGTCGGGAGAAGGAATGACGGGACGCACATAGACAGCGCGAGCGTGTGACTGGTCATGCTGCCGCTGTTGTTGCTGGTGATGCGCGTGCTGCTGGTGCTGGTGCTGATGTTGGTTATCTTGCTGCTGGTGCTGCTGCTGGTGCTGCTGGTGGTGGTGCTGCTGCTGATGCTGCTGTGCTGCTGGAGTTGCCGCTGGTGCTACTGTTGATGGTGATTGTGCTGTTGTTAGTGCTGCTGCTGATGGCTCGGCTTCTCGTTCTGATGGTCCTGCTGCTGGTGTTGCGGGTGCTGCTGCTACTGGTGCTACTGCTGGTGCTGCTGATGGTGTCGCTGATGGTGCTGCTGGTGGCGGCGGCGGTGCTGCTGGTGCTGCCGCCGCTGCTAGTGCTGTGGCTGGTGGTTGCGGTGCTGCTGCTGCTGCTGGCGCTGCTGATGCTGGTGCGGGCAGTGATGGTGGGAGCAAATTAGGTTAACGGCCGCCTCGGGAGCGCGTTCTCGATCGGATTTTTGGAGAGGTTGCCCTCTTGGGGCACTATTGCGGGTCTCTTTTGGTAGATCTTGGGGCCCTCGTAGACATCTTGGGGCCGTCTTGCCTATGCTGTTCAAAAAGAAAAGGGCCATTCGGATCCCCCCCCCCCCCCCCCCAATCAGAGGCTCAGAAAGGGCGCCCTGAGGCACTCACGGGCCGTCCTTGGAGTGCTGGCGCTCTGGCTGTTTGGGGTTCCATTGTGGAAATCGTGAGGTATCAAGAGCCAATGGAAAGCGATACGACCAGAATGCAATGACAGACATGTGTTATTTAGGTGTTGGAATTGCTTTTTCCGATGGCTCGAATGCCACTTGGAATCATCTTGGGGCCGTAGCTTGGACAATCTAGAATCTTGGATGCGAATTCCAATTAAGCTCTCTGAGGCCACCGCAACCTTGGGCCGAAAATTGACAATCTGCCCCCTTCCCTCCCACCCACCTACCTCCTCCCCCCCCTTCCCACCCCCCGCCCCCGCCCGCCATCCCCCCGCCCGCCCGCCCACCCGCGCACGCACAACACACACGCACACCACAACGCATACACGCACATCTACACACTTTTCCCCGAGGAGCGCACCGTGCTTCACGCGCGAGACACACCTACACACACCCCTTCCCTCCCCCCCCCGCCCCAGACCCAAGGGGCGTTGTATAGGGGCACACACGCGCGCGCACACCGCGCACCTCCCCCACCCTTCCCCGAGCAAGTGAAGGAGGAAGCTGTGGCGGAGAGAAGGAAAATTACGCTAAACCACCGCAGCCCAAAGGGCTCGCGGGATGATCTGACGCCTAGCAGGGCAAACGTGACTTATCGATTGTTAACTCGCGCGCGCGCGCGACAGTTGTGGGCGCTGGCGCGTGCGCCTGCATGTGAATAACATATGTGCTTGTCATGACATGCCATTCTAGTTATGGGCACTGATCTCGAGCGCGCGCGCTTCCATGACATATTTCCCTCAAGCAATCGAGTCATTCACGCTGTATGCTAGGTGCCGAGTAGGATTTGAGAATGTCCACTCCTACCAAGCTCATCGCGGAGCTGGCCAACCTCCCCAAGTTCTTTGAGGAGCAGAAGCAGTGCAACCTCGACTCGGATGCCATGTCTGAGTTGATGCGCGCGCAGGCAACGTGCATCAGCGCAAAGTTCAGGTCGCTCATTGAGTGCGACTTACGATCCGCAACGGAGTTGACTAAGGCCGTCCACGGCGTCGGGTGGGACAAGGAGACAACGGCTAAGTTGGCTACGCTGGTGAACGAGATGAAGAACAAGCTCGAGGATGGGAACCCTTACGCAAGGCGGCCGAACCAAAAGTGCTCATCATTCAACATGTACTTGACTGATATCGAGTACACGACCCTCGCGGACAGCATGACGCCTTGGTCTGCTAAGTTCGCAGTTGTGAAAAAGAGGTGCTTCTTCATCGGGCTCCTCCTGCCGAGTGAGAAGACGAAAGGGCACATCTTGGAGTGCATCTATGTGGCCAACGGGCTGCCGCTGGAGAAGGGGAAAGATTGGTTCGCCCATTTGAATAACATCAAGGAGGCGCTTGCGCCGCTGGGCAATGTCAAGTACCCATTTGAGTTTATGACAGAGTTTCCGCTTTCGCCCAAGGATCTCCCGAGTGAAACCTACAAGCATGCATACGAGACGGACCCGCCGTCGATGAAGGAGTACCGCGAGCTGACGTTCGGAACAGTCCGACAGAGCTCGACCGCCTATAAGCGCGCGCATACGGGAGCTGAAGAAGCGGAGTCGCAGCTGGCCCTCAATAAGAAGAGCCCGCCCATGCTGAACTTGCGCGCTCCATCCGCAACCGACCCCAATCAGTTCATGGCGGAAGCCTGCAGGCAGATCGGCGCCCAGATGCTCCTGCAGGGCATGATGAAGGGTCTCCCTAGCACGAGTGCAGGCATGGACCCGTATAACATGCTGCAGTGCCTCCGTTCTTCCGCCGACGCGGGCGCGTCGTCGGCCTCGCACCTGCCCGAGCCGAAGGGCAGCCGCTCCGCCGCCGAGCCCGCCGAAGCGGCCGAGCCCAAGGCTGGCGTCCGCGCCGACGACAGCGCTGGAACATTCCCCATGGCTCCCCCAGCTGTCGACGAGAAGGCTGGCGCCTGCGCCGACGACAGCGATGCGAGCGAGGAATCTGCTGCGGAGCGCTTGCGCGCGAAGGCGACAGGCAAGGGCAAAGCGGCTGGCCGCATGCCGCGCCCCGCAGCTTCGGCCTCCGCTGCAAAGCGCCCCGCATCGGCCGCCCCTTCGTCGGGCGACGCCGATCCGCCACCGAAGAAGAAGGCGAAAGAGGCCAAGAAGGGCGGCGTCACAGAGAGTGATTTGCCAAAGGGCTTCATGCTCAATCTGAAGGAGTTTCTCTCCAAGAGTGTCGCAGCAAAATACCCGTCCAAGGGCGCATGCACCTCCAAGCTATACGCGGAGGGTGGGAAGCAGGCCAGGGATAAACAATTGAGCTCGGACGATGTGAAGCTCGCCCAGAAGGTCGCGCACAGCATTGGCTCATCTTTCTGGGCCAACTGTGGCTTGTAGGGGCGTGTGCGCCGTTGCAGGAGCTCGCAGCGCTAAATACTAGGCAACGATCGCATTCGTGCACGCGGCGAGTGCACGCGTGCAGCCGCGCATGCCGTATCTTTTTGCGATGAAACATTGCCAGCCTTATTATTTCTCTTTCCCCCGCTCTTTCTCTCGCTCTCTATCTCGCTTTATCTCGCATTACGTTCACCCGCCATCATTCCCAATCTTGCCATAGCGTTCACTTTCTATGCTATCCTTTTCCGCCACCGCTCCCCCTCTATATGCCCCACGCATATTTATATATATATATCCCATCTCTCTGCCCAATATCCTCACATATAGGCCCTCTCTATACAAAGAGCCCTTCCTCCTCGAACACATCCCATCACACTCTCTCTATATATAGCTCTCTTTCTCTCTCTCTCTCTCTCTCTTCCTCGCGCTCGCACGTTCTCCCTTTCGCTCCATTTCATTCTCCCTCGTTATCGTGATCTCATTCCCCTCTATATCTCTCTCTCTCTCTCTCTCTCTCTCTCTCTCTCTCTCTCTCTCTCTCTCTCCTGTCACACCTCCCGCCTACCCCTTCTCACCTGCATCCGATTGTCTCCCCAGCCCTCTGATTATCCATCCATCCACCCGCCCGCCCTTTCAGCCTGCCAGCGTCGTCGCATCGCCATCCCCCGCACGCCGCGCTACCACCGTAAGATGAGAGCGGCTATTGTAGGATGACATATTGTGTTATTATTGAGCTCTTCACCGATGGAAATCCGTTGATCGTGTCGCGTGGCAGATTGTGGGTTGCGCGATTCTCGCGCGCCCCTGCCCCAGCCCACGCCCATCCCGATCCCATGATGCATCGCAGTTTGGCTCTGCGCTCGCTTAGCGTTTAAGCTGCTGCGCGCGTGGTTGCGGACTGTCTGAGATGGTGCGCTCGGAGATGGAGAAAATGCTGCAGAAGCAGCTGACCACCGTCAGGAAGGAGAGGTCGACGGCAGAGAGGCAGCTCGGAACCCAGAAGGTGTACTTCCTCAAGAAGATGCTCACGCAGCAGTCGACCTTCTTCCTTCAGTCGCTGTCGCGCGTCAGGGCCAACGGCCTGCCGACGGTGGAGTGCCAGAAGGTTGTGAATAAGTTGGTCGGGTCAATCATTCCCAAGCCAGAGACGAGTGAGGTCGGCACCCAGACGGACTTGAGGCTGTCGCAAGGCATTGAGCCCGCGAGGCTGCCCAAGCCGCTGACGGCGTTGGATGAGGTGTCGGAATCGAGCTGTGATGGGGACAGCGAGCAGCTGGGGTCGATGTCGGAATGAGCGCAGCTAGAGGCATGTCTTAGCCCACAGATTTACTGCCGTTGTTGCAGTACAGCCCGTATTACTGCTGGGAGGGGAGATCCCAGAAAATGTGTTCCATCATTCGCACGCGTGCGTTTAACCGCGTCTAAATCCGCCACCGTGCCGCGAGGCGCGGAGTGGGAGTGCCCTCATGCCCCTGGTCAAATCCTCCGAGCCTCAGTCCTCAGTCCTGTGAGGAATCATTATAAAGGGGACCAGAGCCTCAATTTCCAATTCTCTCGGGCCTTCCCGCGGTTCACCTGGGGCTTCTTGCAATTTCCCGCGTGATTGTATCGAGCTCAAGCGGGCCCCGAGACGGGCCAAGAAGGCACCAAAGAGGCCCCGAAGACGGCCCAGGCCCCGAGACGCCAAACGAGCGCTCCACGACGCCCAAAATGGCCCCAAGACGGGCCAGAGGCCGCCCGCAGACGGCCCGCCTCCAAGAGGCTTCCCAAGAGGGCCCCGAGTGGCTAAACTTGTTGATTGCCCATTGTGGTTTTCGATGTTGTGTTTTTTTGCTTTCTCGCCTTTTCGGCTTCCCGACGCTCTGAGACGGCCCAAGCCCCAAGAGGCCCCAAGGGGCCCCCAAGACGGCCCGACGACGGCCCATTACGGCCCCAAGATTGCCCATTATGGTTCCAAATACAACCCAAGAGCTCTTGGAGCCCTAGGGCTCCAAGACGGCACCAAGAGGGGCCCAAGAGGGCGACGAACAAGTCAAACATTCAAGTCGCCCCCAGGGGCCCCAGGGTGCCCCAAGGCCCCCAAGACGCCCCAAGCAGCCCCCAAGGCCCCCAAACGACCTTGCAGATGCCCAAAAACGCCCCCCAAGAGGCTTCAAAACTGCCTCCCAGAAACCTCCGAAAGGCTTAACACGAGACCCAGACACACATTCGGTACCACTTGAGGCATATTGCCGACATACACGTTAGGCATACTGACGACGCGCCTCAGATGGTACCCGATCGGAACTACTTGAGGCATACAACGGACATGCCTCAAGTTGTATTTATTCGATGCCACTTGAGGCATACTGCCGACATGCCCCCCTCGGTCCAGAATGTGAGATTGTCGAGCTTTCGGTCCACCACCGCCCCGCGACGGCCCAAGCGCCTCCAACGCCATCAAATGTCCACGAATCCAGGCACGGTGGCGGAATGGGCCGAAGGCCATTATATAACCAAATTCAGTTCCGCGCATGTATGCACGCGTGTCGTATGAAGCGATCGCCCCACGCACCGCGCGCCGATCAAGAGGCGCACGCGCCACCGTCCCCGCCCTGGCCCGAGCGACCAGCGCGCCCTTGCGCGCGTGCACCCCTGGCTCATGAAGCGCGCGGGCGCTGACCTTAATGAGCTGCATCGCGATTCTTACGTTTCGCAGCGGGGGCTTGAGGCGATTCTGAAAAGGGTGAGGGCGGACGGGCTCCCCAGCGCGAGCAGCTCGCGCTCGCAGCTCCGAGCCCGCCATGCGTTCACTAGTGAGCCAACGCCATACGGCCCTGTGGTGCAGCCGATGGAGCTCACTCTAGAGGACAGGACTGTTGGAATTGCATTTGTCAATCACCCGTTTGCCCTCTTGGATCGTACCGTTCGGGAGTGCGCTCCGTTCAGGCAAATTATGAAGGCAAAGTTGGCGAAGTTCCCCAGCTCCCCGAGTACGCCGTGGAGGCTCATCATATACTTCGGCGAGGTCCGCCCCACGAACCCACTTGCATCCAAGAAGGACCCACGCAAAGTGCAGAGCTTCTACTGGACGTTCGCTGAGTTTGAAAATCTTGTTCATCGGGAGGAAATGTGGTTCATTGTTACATGTACTCCGTCGCTCATTGTCGAGACCATGGACAGCGGCATATCGCAGTTAGTCAAGCATGTACTGAAACACATGTTTTTCAATGACGAGTCTCATCACCTGACGAAGACAGGCATTTGCTTGGATTTGCGCGAGAGCGAAAACGATACCAATGATTTCACCAGGCTCTTTGCGCGTCATTACGGGACATTGGCTGACTTCAACGCTATCAAGGAAGTCCTCGGTAGCATGGGCCACCGAGGCATCGTGCCATGCCCTTTGTGCCGAAACATCGCCAAGGACGGTAGATTCGGGCACCTCCCGGTGGACAATTTGGAGTGCCACCTTTGGGAGCCGCACTCGGACGCTTCTGTGCGAAACTTGCTGGGAGAACTGATGGTTGCAAAAACTGTTTTGGGTAAGACTGCTTACGCAGAGTTGGAGACCAGGAAAGGGTTCCACTACGGGCCCCACTACCTCACTGCTGATGCCGCCACGAAGCCAATCAGCACCACCATGTACGATTGGCCGCACATATATTTCATCACTGGGCTTTTCGAGTACGATCTCGATGAATTTATGCACAAGGCCAAGGCGGCTGCGGGGAGGAACAAAAAGGGCCTGGTGGAATACACAGTCCTGCACGCGTACATGCAGCAGTGGACGTGGCCTCGGGAGTACAAGAGAACGGCTGAAATCTTCGAGACCAACAAGCTGGCCGCCACTGCGAGCGAGCAGCTGTCAGCGACTCCAGTCGTACAGAGGTACTTCTCCAACGTGGTTGCAAAGGAGGAGAGCCTTGCCGCCCTCCACGGTGCAGCGGAATCAGTTTCGCTCTGTTGTGAGAGCATAGGGATGCTGCAATGCGCATCGCGCAAACAGGTGTCCGCGGTCCAGCTGCATGATTGCATCATGAAGCACTTGCATAAGTTTCGCGACGTGCACGGGCGAGGGCCCTGGCAATTCAAGCACCACCAGGCTGCTCATCTCGGTCCGCAGTACCGAGATTTCGGTTGCCGTTTCGACACGTTCGTCACCGAGCGAAGGCATAAGGACCCGAAAAAGTTCGCAATGAACCGCCAGTCGAGAGGCATATACTACACCAGGGGTCTCATGGAGGAGCTGTGCTGCCAACATTTTGCAGACCTTAAACAATTCTCGGCGCACGTAAGCGGCAACTGGAGTGCGTTGCCGAAGGCGTTGCGCATGCCAGTGGGGGAAATGTTTCCGCGCGCAGCCAATATCGAGATATCTGGCACTTTCGTTGCCGAATCGGGCGCGAAGTTTAGCAATTTGGATGTCGTCCTGCTTGGTGGCGACAGGCGCCGACAGTGCGGGCAAATCTGGTATCATTTCTGCGTTGACGGCACTTACTGGACGTGCATCTCCATGTGGGAGTTTAGAAAAGCAGACGGCAGATATGCTAAATATAAGCGGGCTGAAAAGCCAACCCTAGTCTTGTCTAACGAGTTGCTGGCCCACGGAATTTGGCGATCAAGCGCCGACGGGGCTGTTGCAGTTATATGGCCGCTGCATTATATGTTTGCATGCGGTTTGATGTAAGTCGATGCGCTCTCACGCTCTGTGCCTCGTGAGATCCCCAACCGCACCACCACAAACGACGAGCCCAGAAAATCTTCAAATCCGCATGGTATATTCGGTTCCCGAGCAATTATGTTATCATCGGCGCACACAACATCGAAGTGTGAATCCAATCAGCCCGTTCCCTTTTCCAACGAGGTTTGCCTTCCCTGCGTCTGGGCGGGCTTACCTGCGAGGAGTTCGAACGTCCTTGATGGCCCGAGATGGCTCCAAGACGGCCTCAGAGAGCCCGAGCTTCCAATATGGCCAAATATACTTCAAGGTGGCTCGAGATAGCATCCGACACGAACCAATACGGTTTCAAGTTCCCTCCAACCCCCCGCGTTCAAACCCACAGAGGCCAAATTTGCACCAACACCAAAGCAAAACAAATGTTTTTTGGTGTGTTCGCTTTTTCGCTTCCGATGGGCTCTTGAGGCGTCAAGATGCCCCCGAGATGGCCCAAGGGGCCCCAAGAGGGCCCCAATGGCGCCCAAGAGCGCGAGAGCGCCTTTTTTGGAAGCT